GCAAAAAGAGGAAATTGACTTAGCATTATTTTGTGTTGTTGTCATTTCTGTATGTTGGTTGATTTACGAAGGGGAAGGGATTTGGTTTTGGGTAGCCGCGCCGCCGTGACACACTGTGACGCTAGGGTTTGTAAGAGAGAAGATAGAAAGGGGTTGTAAGAAAAAACGAGAGAGCGAGGTGAAGGGCTACTGTGAAACCACATAAAATGAAAATAAAATGTTAAAAACAATTTTTATGTTCTGTTGTTCTTCCGTACGCGCGCATACACAACAATTAACATACACTCCCCTTTAGATCCATTTGATCTTCATCAGACAGCCGTAGGCCAAGTCTCACCGTAAGTCCAATACGCTCTCACACACCCGGTCATGCAGACTCCCTCTCAAATTTGCGTATGGGCCATGCCCGATTAATTTTTGCACACCACTTTGCCATTAATTGCTAAACACGAACATCAATACACCCCCAAGCTTACTGGGCCTGAATTCAATATCTGAATTCAGGCCCTGACTTCTTAAGACACCCCCGATTTTTACTACTTAATTAAAAACGCACCCCCTTTAATTAGTAAAATATTTTGTTTTTATTTTTAAATTCCTATATTTTCTATTTATACTTTATAATTATTATATTTTATTTTTATTTTATTATTTTCTTTTTTTTATAATAATTATTATTTTAGTACTTTATTTCATTTTATATTATTATTATTTATTATCATGTAAATAACTATTTTATTTAAAAACTCATGTATATATTATTTTCTATATTATTGCATTAAAATATTTTTATGTCATGCATTAATTAAGAATTTTTGAAATTAATATTATTAAAATATATTCAACAAACATCAAATTCATTTTCGCAATAAACTAATCTAAACAAACATTTTTTGCTAAAGGGTTTCAAATATATTTTGACTAATCGCGCATTTAATCCAAAATTCTGCAATCTCTAAGCCCGGTCAAATGCGAGGTGATTCAAAATACTTTTACAACCCCTAAAAAACACAAACCCATACGAACTATGAATTGAGACTCTGATTCCTCATAAGAGGATATGAGTTCCCCTATTAAAAATTAAAACCCTATTTTACCCGAAACCTAAACCTAAAACCTAAAATCCTTAAGAATAAGGTAGATGAAAGGTGCCTAACACCTTCTTTTCGTCTAATGAAGTCCGAAAGTTAGAATCCCTGTCTTTACAAATTAGGGTTTCCTATTAGATTCCCTACCTTAGGATAAAAACTAATAACGGCGACTCTCATTTAAAAACCAGTCGCAACACATGCCTATTCGTAAGGATCACTAAAAGAAAATTTTAATTTTCCACTCCGTTTCTGATCGCAAATTTCCATAAAAAATATATCATTTATTTATCTTTTTTTAAAAGGAGTATAGAATCAGAGATGATCCGAGAAAACTATATACAAATAATCATCTTTTTCAATTTTATTAACATAATAACCATCTTTTTCATCTATTTCCAAAAGTAATCCACTTTCAAACAAAAAAAAACATGAACGGAGAGGTGTTTCCAGGTGAATTAGCGCCCCCATTTAGAAAACAATAGGTGTCGTCAATTGAATCAGCGTCTGCATATGGTGTAGTCAATCCAATTGGCGACTAAATTCATTTTATAAGAGGCGTCACCAATTGAATTGGCACCTCCATTTGTACACTGCCGCCAATTCAATTGATGACACATCTTATGAAATGCATGTAATCACCAATTAGAATGGCTACACCACATGGAGTTGTCAATTCAATTGGCGACACCTCTTTATTCCACTTTTTTGTTTAAAAGTTAGTTACTTTGGGGAATAGGTGGAAATGATGGTTAGTATAAGAATACAAAATTGAAAATGATGACAATTTGCATAAAATTTTCAAGATCTGAAGATACAATATTTAGAATGTGTCTGGTTTTTTAATCTAAACTAGATTTGGTAATTTAATGCATAGTAGGCCAAAAGATGATTAATTTATTGGTAACTTGGTCACGTAATGTAACCTAACTTCATCAAACCAAACCATAAGTTTGTTGGTATTTTGTACAACTCTTCCCACATAACCATGTATATTCATCGTGTTTCCCCCGTAATTACAAGGTTTAAATAAATTTATTTCAGTTAACCTTAGTCAAATAACAATATTTTGCAAAAATCAACGTATGTAACATCATGTAGTAGGATCTTGATAACAACATATCCCCAAGCCTTATGTTTTTTCAAGTCATCACATCAAGGACGATTTTATGTTTGTCACAAATCATCGTGTTTATCTCCCAAAAGAGAGATTTGCATCACAATTGACATTCATGAATCCTTTCTCAAATTTGTTCCATTTCTCTTTTCCTTTGATTTTTCCATCGAGTTCTTTTCATCTTGTTGGTTTTTAACCATCTAATTTGATTTAATTATTTGAGGTTCCTTTAGAGAATCATTACTATTAGAAACCCCGGGAGATTAATATGTTGGAATTCATTAATAATTTTTCAAGACTTATGATTCTACTATGTTATATGTGTGTCCCTTTCTTTATGGGTATTTTTTGTTGTACCATATGATTATAGATCTATCTACTTACAGATATTGTCAAGGGGATCCCATATGGTGAAGTTTGTTGACAGAAAAGATGTAAGTTAAGTGAGTAATTGTTTAGCTTTGATGATGACAATACTCAAGCGTTAACGAGTTATATGCATTGTCTTCACTTGGTTACCTTTGATATGTACGAGTTATTCGCGTCGTCATATCAGGGTTATCTATGTTCACTTTTCCTAAGTGTTAACGAGTTATCTGCATCATCTTCTCTTGGTTACCTTTGATATGTACGAGTTATCTGCATCGTCATATCAGGGTTATCTATGTTTTTTCCCAAGCGTTGACGAGTTATCCACGCCGTCTTCTCTTGGTTACCTTTGATATGCACGATTTATCTGCATCGTCATATTAGGGTTATCTATGTTTGCTTTTCCCAAGCGTTGATGAGCTATCCGTGTTGTTCTTGCCTTTTTTACTTTTTACAGGTTTTATTGTTTCAAACTACTTTTCAAAAGTTTTTAAAAAGAGTCTTTGGTCAAATTTTGGGGTCTTCCATTATTTAATAACCCTCAAATCCAAATGTACGAGAACTTTGTACTCTTGCACCCTTCAATCAAAGAGTAATTAAATAGGGGCAGCTGCCAAACCTCAAATTTGCCCGCCTTATTATTTTCAAACTTGGTTTTTATATTTATATATAATAGTTTATTTTAAATTATTTGTATGTTTTTAATAACAAATATTTGGGTGACCTTCATGTGTTTTCTAAGGCCATTTTATTTCAAATAAATGAATTGCCACAATTAGTAAGGAGGTAAGGCTTGCATTTATAAGGTTAGGAGTTTGAATCCCACCTTTCTTATCTTTTGACATTTTTTCTATTTATTTTAAACTTCTTTTTTATATTTACATTATTACTAAAAAGATCACAAAAATATCATATTTTTTATTATTTAAATACTATTTTCGTTTTCCTTTACTTTTATTATATTTTAAAATATTATTTTTTCATTAAAATAATTTTTTTATGCAAAAAATAGTCAAAAATCCAAAAAATTAATAAAATCTTTTTCAAATCAAATTCTTTTCAAATCAAATTCTTTTCAAATCGTATTTTGCACAAAGTCACAAATAGATCTAGATTCTTAATCTTGCTGACTATGATACAATCAGATAATTTGGGTCTCCATATTAGTTTTATTTGGTTTAATTTATTTCTTTTTTTGATGTTTTAACCTAATTTTTCAGTCTATAAATAGTCATTTAGTTTGACAATTCAATTCATCTACAATTTTGCAAATCCATAATATCAATAACTCTACAATTTTTCACTCACTTTTTTCATACACTTTCATATCAACAAATTTGCAATTTCATACATTCACAAAATTCACACTTCTATCAACAGTTTTTCAACCTTTTTCTTCACACATTTTTTCTAAAACCCTTTTAAACTTCTACATTTTTTATCAACAATTTTGGTCAATGATTAAAATTTCAATATAAGCCCCCCTCTCTTTTATTTTCAATTCCTTTTGGTTTTAAGTTATTTGTTTTTCAACCAAGTGATGATTTTCTTTAAAAATTATTATTGCTAATTTTTTGTACCAAATTCTAACCCCTTACATTTACTATAATTTTTAAATTCAAACTCGCAATAACAAGTTTTTTTCTTTAGTAAACTCAATCTCTGAAAATATCTCACAATTCAAACTTTTGTTAACAATGTTTAAAATCAAACTTTCATGTTAATACTATGATTCATGCCATAAACCAAAACCTATCAAAATACAATACTTTGAATTAAAAAAAATAGAAGCAATAATCAATTAAACAATATTGAATCAAAACCCGACACAGAAACATTATTATCGAGTTAAAACTCATGATAAACTTGCATACATTTTTGTTCTTCTTTTCTGCAGAAAAAAGAGAGGAAGCTACTCGGCGGTGGTCGCTCTATCGAATCTGCCCAGCAACAATAATAATTTGCAATTGAAAATGTTTGGAGAAGGTAAATGGCCGTTGTTCCCTCCATCACTGCAACCAATAGCATAACCATCCCCAAGTCTTCACTCTGACAACCTTCGAGTTCCCCATACAAACCTCTGACGAGCCTTCATCGTACCCCCTTCGAATCGCCACCAGACCCGACACATCCATCCACACGCGAGCAATGTCGGACCATCCCACTGAAACCACAACACAAAGATGACACAAAGACACCCAGATCCTCCGCACTCAGCCCGTCACAACTGCACAACACCGCCTCCGTATAACAACTCTCCAACCATCATAAAATGGTTGCTATTAACCTCTATTTCCCATTGTCTTCTTTAATTGATTCTTGGTGTTTTCTTTGTGTTTTTTGTTTGAATAGAAGGGGGGGTTTTTGCTTTTGGATATGATTTTTGAGAAGAAAAGAAGAAAGGGGATAGTGTTCTATGAGAAGAGATGTGGTCATTAAGGTTAGTTTTCTTAAATGCACTTTTAGTCCGTCTATAATTAGTTTCCTAATTTTTTAGTCCCTTTTAAAAAAACCAGCTATTAGATCTCCCTATTTCATTTTTGGTGAATTTTTGTTTGTTCCTAGCCATTTGTCTCATATTTTAATGACATAGCACCCCCAATATGAACCCTGTCACATGCCACATCATTTAAAAATATAATTGTTCATTTTTATTTTTATTTTTATTTTTTATTTTTCCAGAAATAATTTATATAATTATATTGAATATAATAAGATTAAAATTAGGTTATAAATTTGTGTCATGTCCTTCTTCTTCGTTGCAAATATTCTGTCCTTCTTCTTCGTTGCAAGTATTCCATACTTCTTCTTCCTCCTTCTCTTACGTTTTCGTCTTCCATACTTCTTCTTTCCTTTTTGTTTTGCACTATCGTGTGTTGAAGATGTCTCAATGCACGAAAGCTATTAGTGTTAGAGCTACGCGTTCATGTCATTTTTGAAGCGAGTGCAGGTGTGGGCTTGAAGCTCCATTGATGACTTCATGGACCGATTCCAACCCAGATCGACTTTTTTTGGGTGTGGGATGTATAAGGTAATGTCCATGTCTTATTTATAGGTTTTTTTGGGTGTGGGTATTCTGTGTTTGGGTGTAGATTCATTCATATGTGTTGTTTTACTTCAGGTACAAGGTTATAAAAGGTGTAGCCATTTTGTTTGGTATGATGATGAAATGTCTTCAAGAGCTAAAGAGATTATCACTTCACTACAAAAAAAAGTTGGATCAAGAAAGGGCAAAAATGGATGAAGCTAATATCAAAGTAGCTAAAGTGAAGACAAAGTTGAATTCAATGAACTTAATGATGAAATTCTTTGTTTCAATAAACATTTGTTTTGGCAATAGGATTAGTGTTATCAAATATAATGAAGTAGTGTTTTCAATTGGTGTAAACTTGGGCTTAAGTGGTTGTTGTCAACTTAGGATTAGTGTTGACAATTGTTGGATAGTTGTAATCAAGTGAGTGTATTTGTTGGTTTGAAATGAAATGGAGATATTTTTTTTTTGTTAACCTTGTACTAGTTTGAAGTTAATTGTAATGAATATAACTGGTGGGTTGAACAAAGAAACATAAATGAAATCATAGCTCATAATCAAAATAACAACTTCATTAGATTCATTAGCTTGTTTTTACAAGGAAAGTTAACATGATACATACATAAAATAACATCATGACATAATACCTTCATAAGCAGAACATAACTTAATGACAGAATACCAAAATAAGATAACATAAGTTGATGACAGAAAATTGTTCATGACTTTACAAAACACTTAACATTATAATCATGTCCTACAACTACTTTTTATTTAGTTGTGTAACAGGAGGACCCTGATATGATGTGCCAATTTCAGTTACAACCTTAGTCTTAGTCTTTGCCTTTACCTTAGTCTTAGTCTTAGTCTTTGCCTTTGCCTTTGTCTTAGTCTTTGTTTTTGCTTTTTCCTTAGTCTTGTCTTTGGTCTTTTCCCTCTTGTTCCCACTAACATGTATGTATATATATGCAGCTCTTTTGCCTTTGCAACTTCTTATGTTATAACCAACACCTCCACATTTTTTGCATGTCACCGTGGCTAAAGTCCTTAGCAGTACATGTGGATTTCTTGGCTCATCATTTGACTTGTTCCTCATCTTTTGGGGGCATTCAATTGCCATTCTCATCAATGGTATATTGACTCCCACTTTTACATCTACGACAAGCCACAATTGTGGTCCATTAGTTGGGTAGATGATGTTGGTATAACATTCTAAATACTTAGATTTCCTGCACAAAATTATAGATAAAAGCCAGAATACATAATTATCAATAACACCCATAACAAATAATTACAAATGAAAGTAACAAGACATATGAGTGATACCTACTTGTAATAGCCATCAACATATTCTTCTGGGGATTTCTTGATCTGCCACATACAAGAGATAACATGTATGCACGAATTCCTAGTCAGCATCCATTTCCTACATGAACAAGTACCTTCTTTGAGATTGATACAAAAAGTTTCTTTCCCATTTGTGACTCCAAATATTTCCATATCATTATCACCATGCCAGATGGGGGTCCAACCATGAGCATACTTCTTGTCCTTTTCAAGAATTAATTGGATATTTGGACATATATCTCCAGGATATATCTGAATCATCTCCTTCCGACTTGTAATCCTTTTAGTGAGTGTTGTACCCCAAAAATTTTCCTCTCATTTTCAAAATATTTTCTCATGCTCCTAAGGTTATCAAGTATTCAAGACTACTCAAAGATTGATCAGACAAACCCTCGTACTAAGCATTGACCTACAAACTAGGGTTTTGTTTTTACCAAGGGAAGTTGGACTTCTAATGCCTCAAGTGGACTTCATGGTTTCTAAAATGCTTCAAGGTATCCTCATGCCAAGTTTTAAGCCTTGCATCACAAGTTTTCTTAGTCAATTAGCCAGATGATTGAAAACCAACTATATTAGGCAAAAAGTCAATTGTGGTCAACATATAGTCAAACTTCAAGATTTTGGTCAACATCAATATTTTAAAGTTACATCATTTGATCAAGGGTTGATGATAACTCATCAAGAAAACTCAAGATTCATCAAAAGTCAAAAGTTGCTAAATTATGGTTTTCTTTAGGTGAAGTCAACTAAACTTTGACCAAGCATAACTTTCACATGCTTCATCAGGAAGTTCTCAACCAAATCCCATTTTGATGGAAATTCAATTCTCTACAACTTTGTGTCTCTAAGCTCAAGGCTAAAAAATGCTTCATTTGAGAGATATGAGCCAAAACATTAGAGGTCATTTTAAAAGTCAACAAAAAGACACTTTTTGTCAAAGCAATTTAAATCAAGATAAAATCTTCAAGTGGAAAATGAACAAAATGAGAGTTGTAGGGGACATCTTGAGCTTTCTAAAAAGTCCAAGATCACCTCTATATGATAAAAATTGAGAGAGTTATGATTGGTGAAAGTTGGACAATTTTGTGAAATTGCATGAAACCTCAATTGAACAATTTTGGATTTTATGACTAATGGGCCTAATTTTTGAAGTTCAAACGTGCTCATGAAATGTTAGGGGACCCCCAAAACCATTTATATATTTTATGGTTTTTATTTCTTTTATTTGAATTTTTATTCTTTTAAATGCAAATTAAATCAAATAAATAGTCAGTGGAGGTATAAGGCTTACAAGGCTTTTGTCTCAAATCTTTTGGAGGCCAAGATTACATTGCAAACCGTGTGGAGCTTATTCTTGAAACAAATATTAATGTTTTGTCTTATTATATTCTATTTTCAAACAATAATCAAAGTTTGTTCTACAAGGTCCAAGCCCATCCTTCTTGACCTAATCTTCTCTTATAAATACTCTTCTCATCCAGACAAGGAAGATCACGAAAAACCTTGCAAGAACACACCCTCTAAATCTCAATTTTTTTTCAAACTAGGGCAAACTTGAAAATCGTTTTCCAGCCCTTTCCAAAGAAAACCAACCACTCAAATCAATCCCCGAGACATTATAGAGTAAGACTTGATCATTCTTGATGATCAAAGAGGCTTGAAACATGTGCATGAAGCATCACCAGTTTCCCTATTTTCATGCATTTCAATTTTTAATTTTTACCATGCTTTAATTCATACTAACCATGCTGATGTGTTTCTGAGATGTGACAATACAAGATTAGACCCTTGCATGAGTCCCATAACGCCTAGATAGCTTAGCACCATGTTTGGATTGATTTACATTATTTTGTTCGTATCTCTTTATGCAAGAAGAATTAGCCAAAGTTAAGGCCACTATTGAATTCGCAACCCTCAAATTAGGGGGGTAGGGTTTTCCTTGATCACTTATGTTTGTTATTTTGTAGGTTCCAAGAAAATACCTCACCGGAGAAGACAACCGGAGCTAGGGCTCCGACGCTTCTCCGGTCTATCTGATTATATTTATACTATATTTATGCTGTTTTATTTCACTGCTGGATGTAACAGCCACCCTAGTGGCAAGCACGCCTGTACAAAAGCTCTTCTTACCTCAAAGGCGTGAGTACGATCCCTGCCTTTTACAATCCTTTTTGCTATTTTCAAATTTATGCAGGTTTTTTATATAATATGCAACGCTTATTTCCTAACACAACCAATGCATTAGTTGGGTGTCAAGCAAGTTAGTATGAAGCCTAGAGAGCGTGAGTTCAACACCCACCCCATGCAGTTTTACATTTTTTTTCTTTTTAACCTTATTTCTTTTAATTATTAACCCTAATTTTTTCCTTAACCCTAATTATTTTTCTTAATTAACTATTAATCAATTTTAATCTTTTTTCAAAACCCTAATAAAATAGGTTTTGGTTTTTAATCAATAATTAATTTTGACATTTTTATATTTACTAATTAATTAGGTTAATAAATATTTTCTTAAAATTAAAATTAATTAGACTTTAGGATTTTTATTAATTAAAATTAATTAGATTTAGAGTTTTAACTATTTAACTAACATCAAATCAATTTCATAAAAAATCACATTCAAACTTTTTTTTAAACATTTTTTTATTTCGCATTTAAATTCCTAGAGAAATTGTATAGGTCACGCGACTTTCTCTTGTAACAATTTAGCTTTATCTTTCCGCATTTTTCCTATTATGTAACTACTTACAGGATGTAATAGTTTAGGGTTTAATTTCTGCACTTTATTTTCCGCATCTTTTTTTTATGTTACTACCCCAAAGCCCTGTAATAGCTTAGGATTTACTTTATGCACCTTTACCTTTCCGTATATATTATACTGCTAGTAATTAGGCGTGTATGGCAAGATCTAAAAACAATCGATAGATAACCCTAATACAAGATAAATAACTGAACTAAACACACTATTCACACTCTGCACCTCTAGGGTATCCTCTTTTTTTTCCTTTGGAAACTTGGTCATGTCCCTCGAAAATAGGGATACTTTAGCAAAGTCCCTTCGAATAAAGATCCTAGTCCCTCGATGACCCTTAGATGTTGCCTATGAAAAATGATCTAGTCCCTCCGATAAGTTTCTAAAGTATCTCTATATGTTGCCTTCAATGACCATATGATGACCCTTCACACGTCCCGTCACATCCAATAGATGGGTGTAATACGGTGGGAGAACTTACTTGGTTTTGCATTTTATCGTAAATGTTACGAATAGAATAAGGAAAGGGTGAAAAGAACAAGAAATACCTTTGAGATTTATTTGAGTTTGGAGGGTAGGTTATGAGAAGGGAAGGTGTTAGCACCCTTTTCATCCGTAGTTATCTACGGGCTCTTAATCACTAGCTTGCTTTTGAAAATGTTTTGTGTGTATTTTGAAAAGTATTTAGAAAATACCAATAGTAAGGCAACTTTTTAATGATTCTTGTATTGGTTAAGAATGCGTACAAAGTGTTTATTTGAAAATATTTTGAAAGTGTGATTGTGAGAAATGTTTTGGTTTTGAAAAATGTAAGCAAGCGATTAACAGTATTCTACCCTTACTCATGGTCTTTATCGTTCTTTTTCTCCTCCTTTAGATAGTGTTATACTACCATTAGTTAGTAGGAAGCCTTATCATTGGATATGAAGGGACAAGCGTGAATCATCGTACAGTCATAAAGGTAACTCGTAGGGGCGCTTTAGCAATTTTATCGTAAGGGACTAGATCATTTTACCGAAAGGCAACATCAAAGGGTCATCGAGGGACTATGATCTTTTTAATCGAGGGACAATGCTAAAGAGTCCCCCATGTTCGAGGGACATGACTATTTTTAGAGGCAACAAGTGAGGTTATCCTAGAGGTGCGCGTGTGAAGAGAGTTTTAATTTCAGTTGATTTATCTTGAAATTAGGGTTTTCTACGATTGTCTTTAATCTTGTCATACAAACCCTATTAGCATACATTTAACAGTTATAAGGAAAGCGATAAATGTAGAAAAGTAAAATCCTACACTGTTACAAGGCTTCGGGAATTGGGGTACAAATAGTA